AATTGAATTTGATATTTTAACAATGTTCAAAACACACTGTTTTAAATAGTTCAAGTATTATTCTGAGTGAGTCCATCATAAATTAGGTGTTTTTTTATTGTTCATTTTTGGTTGTTGTTGTTTTTTTCTTAATTAAAATTTTCTGAAGAGCCATGATTGCTTTATATGATAAACAGTTTGAATTTAACATTTTATTCACATATAAACACTGATCAGTGAACATAAACAGAAGTACTTGCTTGACACATAAGAACAAACCTTGCAGAAGCTCAAACATGCTGCAGTTTGCTGCAAGATTTAACCGCATTGGTTCTCACACATCGAGTAAGAATGCTTGACCTTCTGCTTACCATAACTGATCTGCTCTGACGAATGTTTATATGTGAATAACAGCTAAGTTAGATCTGTTCATCTTATAAAGTGATCAAGTCTCTTCAGAAAATGTCGACTAAACTGCTCAATTCTTATGGATTAGTTTTATGATCTCTTTATGAGCTTATGAAGCGTCAAAGTGGTCGTTGCATAAACTGTCAAGGGAGGGACAGACAGACACCTCTCAGATTTCATTAAAAATATCTTCATCTGTGTTCTGAAGATGAACAAAAGTTATGGGTTTGGAACAACATGAGGGTGAGTAAATGATGACAGAATTTTATTTTTTGGATGAACTAACCCAAGTGAAGTGTGCTCAGCTTGTAGCAGTAAGTGCTAAGATATTGTGGACTGCAGAACATACATTTTAAGTTTTAAAGTTTACTCTGTAAAACGCTATTGAATGCTATTAATTTTTATTTGCTGATGTAATGTTTTTAAAGTAATTGAATTTGATATTTTAACAATGTCCAAAACACACTGTTTTAAATAGTTCAAGTATTATTCTGAGTGAGTCCATCATAAATTAGGTGTTTTTTATTGTCATTTTTGGTTGTTGTTGTTGTTTTTTTCCTTGAAGCCTGTAAACAGCTTTATGTAAAGGTGAATACATTCGTCTGAAAAGGATGTGTGGTAACACTTTAGAATTAGGGAACAAATTCCTGTTAACTAAGGGTTTTCCCTCATTAAAATTAATAGTAAGGTTTTTGGTATATAGGTATGAGGTTGTTTATATGTTAATACATTAATATGTGCTTTATAAGTACTAATAAACAGCCAATATGCTAGCAGTATGCATGTTAATAAGCAACTATAATAGTGAGAATTGGTCTCTAAACTAAAGTGTTACCAGTAGTGTTAATGATACTCTGTAATTTGCATTGTTGCACTGTTGTAACATTGTAAAGTGAATAAATGTTTTGTTTTGAGATGCCCATTAACTGTTTCATTACACTATTGTAGAAAAATGTAGAAATATTTAAATACAGATTGAATATATATATATATATATATATATATATAAAGGTGGCTTATAAGGATAAATTGGTAAATATTACTTTAAAAACAACACGGTTTATGTTTGATGAACTTAAAATTATAGTTTGTAAATTGAAAAAATTAAGTTGCCATTACTTAAGAGTTCAAGTTGGAAACATGTAAAGTCTAATAGAACAAACAAGAATAAAATGAGTTCAAAATACTTAAAAAGCTGATGCAAGTAGTTGCCTCAATTTTATTGAGTAAAACGGTCACAATACTTTTTTACAGTGTAAGTCTACACAGCATATACGTCCAATGTCTCTAAACTAAAGTGTTACCAGTAGTGTTAATGATACTCTGTAATTTGCATTGTTGCACTGTTGTTACATTGTAAAGTGAATAAATGTTTTGTTTTGAGATGCCCATTAACTGTTTCATTACACTATTGTAGAAAAATGTAGAAATATTTAAATACAGATTGAATATATATATATATATATATATATATATAAAGGTGGCTTATAAGGATAAATTGGTAAATATTATTTTAAAAACAACACAGTTTATGTTTGATGAACTTAAAATTATAGTTTGTAAATTGAAAAAATTAAGTTGCCATTACTTAAGAGTTCAAGTTGGAAACATGTAAAGTCTAATAGAACAAACAAGAATAAAATGAGTTCAAAATACTTAAAAAGCTGATGCAAGTAGTTGCCTCAATTTTATTGAGTAAAACGGTCACAATACTTTTTTACAGTGTAAGTCTACACAGCATATACGTCCAATGAACACACTGATAAAAATGATTTTGTGGTGAAGTAAATAATACAGAAGAACATGTAATTTCTACATTAAATAATTTAGTTCAGGCAAGAATAAAAAAAGTAAATTCAATATTAGTACTCAATTTAAGCTTGTAGAATTTAAAGTTTGAACTTGTAAGTATATTTTACTTGGAATTGTTTGTTGTTTTTACAAAGATTAAGTAAATATCAAAGTCATGATCCCGTTGTTCCCATCATGCACTTGGGCATGAAATAAATTTGCTTATTTCCTTTGCCAATTTTACTTGACTTAGTTAACCCCTTAACTGTCACCCCCCATTTTTTTAAATAGGCATGCGGGTGCACTATCCAAACTTAAATTGTTGTAATTTATGAACACTGGAATACAGACATAAGGTTGGTCTCTTTTTAAAGAAGAAAATCAACAAATTATCACAAAAGTGGAATTTTTTCAAAAAATTAAGTATCAAAAATGTATAGTAGTTTAAATTTACTGTAAAGAAAATGCACTATATTAATTTTATTTTATATATAATAAATATTTTACATATCAGGTTTTACTCTAAAATTTGTATAAAATTATAGCCTTATGTCTAAATAAGTTATGTTCCAACTTTGAAGTTGATATGAAAAAAACTGAGGTTGCTGTGAGATTTTATTTAGGGCGTTATACCACAAATAGCCACCGGGTGCCATCCAAACTCCAATTAATTTTTTTAATGCATTTTTCTGTCACAAATGTCTAGATTTCTTTGTCAATATTACTTCTATCTCAAAATAACTGGAATCCTGAGACTCAGACCTTTCCAATTATATGTTTCTTGTCAAGATTATAAAAAGGTTTGATTCTAAGACTGTAATGCATTTTGTAATATGACACTTGACACGGGCCCACTAAGGGGGAGGAGACCGCCAAAAGATTTTAAAGTACCATTTCCATGGTAACGCAATGTCTGATTTCGAAATGGTTTTCACAGGATGAATCTTGGGCTTCTAAGCTTTCAAATGATTTATGATGATTACTAAAAGATTTGATAGAGCAAAAAGACGACAAAAAAGAGCGCCAAACGTCCCACAGGTGGGACGGTGACAGTTTTAAGTAGATTTTACTTAATTCCATACTTAAATTTTACATAATATGCGTGCAAAACTTGCTAAATAAAAATTAAGTAAATTGTACTTGTTTTTTTCAGTGCATCATGGTACACATCCAAAAATATCTGAATCATTCAGACATGCTAAAATGTTAAAGATGAAAGCGGAATGCATCAGAAAGTGTTAAAATCATGCTTTAGAATGCAGAGATGATCACTCTTAACTCTTCCGTGTAGCTTAGTTCAGTTATTTCTCATAGCAAATGTCTGACAACAAATTTCATAAACTCAAGAGTCTAGCAGTTATGTGATTTAGATCCGTTTTAATTGCATTAATAAAAACATACAGAAACCGATTATTTTCCATACACAGAAAATGTAAGGCACTTTTTCATAGCTAATGCAAAGTTAAAGAAAGCAAAGAAAAAATCGTCTATAAAAAGGCAAACAATGCAAAAATAGGAAAATACTCTAAAAATAGGCAAATTATGAAAACAGTCAAATAGTCTAATAGGCTAATAATGACTGTAAGTATTAAAGTGAAGGTGATCATTTCTATCTTACAGTGATATTATTTTACAAACACACCAAAAAAAATACAATAATTAGAAATCATACTGAATCATACATAGAAATCATACTGGACATAGCCCAGCTGAACATGCTTCATAGATCAAACTGAAAGAGACAGAGATGAAAAAGATGGGGAAAAAATGATTACAGAAACAATGTGAAGTATTAAGCTTTACCTTGAATGCCCTACAGGCAAAAACAAATGCAGATTGTTATACTTTACAAATAAATAACTATTTATTTACATCTATAGTATAAATATATGACACAATATGTAGTGTTAAAAACACTATATAAAGGTGACTTCACTTAATATAATAAAAAACAAACAAATATTGTTTTATCAGTAAACACATTTGTGAAATGTACTTAAAACAGGCTTAAGATTCAGCAGTCAGTAACAGTTTTGAAACACAAAACATAAAAATGCTGCTTCTATCTCCAGAGGAGTTATTAACCCTATAAAGCCTGTATCATGTTTAATGCATATATTTCTAAGACATCTATATTGTCACAATGCTGGACATAGCCCAGCTGAACATGCTTCATAGATCAAACTGAAAGAGACAGAGATGAAAAAGATGGGGAAAAAATGATTACAGAAACAATGTGAAGTATTAAGCTTTACCTTGAATGCCCTACAGGCAAAAACAAATGCAGATTGTTATACTTTACAAATAAATAACTATTTATTTACATCTATAGTATAAATATATGACACAATATGTAGTGTTAAAAACACTATATAAAGGTGACTTCACTTAATATAATAAAAAACAAACAAATATTGTTTTATCAGTAAACACATTTGTGAAATGTACTTAAAACAGGCTTAAGATTCAGCAGTCAGTAACAGTTTTGAAACACAAAACATAAAAATGCTGCTTCTATCTCCAGAGGAGTTATTAACCCTATAAAGCCTGTATCATGTTTAATGCATATATTTCTAAGGCATCTAGATTGTCAACATGATAAAAACTCTGTTGCAGACAATCTACTACAAGCTTTGTGTCATCTGATTGATTTATACATTTTTTGTATAAAAGTAAAAGGTTTTTAAGTATAATTGTACAAACATCCACCTTCAGGTCGTGCTGGACGTGTCTTTACTAAACATAACAATAACTAAACTAAGCATTTAAATATTATCAGATATAGAGTGAAAACTGATATCTTCATTATTTTATGTAAGTAACTGCTATACTGTTTTAAAGGTGTCATGCATTTACATTACAAGCTATAAGAATTTCTTCTTACTTTTTGGTCGTATAAATATCAGCATCTGCAATCTGCACCAACTTACAGTCTCAGTTTAGGTCTCTGAATAAAACTGAGGTGTTTTTTTTTTTTTGAAAGCTCCATGTTTTCACTATATCATACTAAATAAGCCATAAATGCCTGATGTATCAAATATGATACTCAACAAAAAATAAAATATGTATGCAAACTTTTTGTACAATATTTTGTCTTAAGGTTCAATAAACTGTTCCATTAAAAAAAAAAAAAAGATCTGTTTCTGACTCTTATTTTACATGGCAGGCTTTACAGGGTTAAAGTTTCAGTTCCTGAGTTTCAGTCTTGATCAAGGACATAATTTTGAGATTCCATGGATCAACCCTTGCAGAATTTGAAACTTCTGCCTTTCTTTACCCACAAAGCTTTGCTAACCAAATCACAAAAACACAAAGTTTCAATGAAATGTTTCATTTCTCAAGAATCCCTGCTGAAAACATCAGTTTTAAGTTATGTTGTAGTGTTGTTTAAGTAGAGCATAAATAGTGACGTCAAGATGCCAAAGTGAAATCACCATTAATGATACTACCACTGAAACCTTGGTATTGTGACAGTTTCTGTGAGCAATGAGAATTTCTGCTGATGCTCTTCTCTAATTTCCCATCTTCTCTTAATTTTCCCTTTCAATAAAACAATAAAATAATAAAATGTTACAGTTATGTCTCACTAACAACATCAGTATTATTAAGGGATGTCCCATTAGGAGCCTTCTGCAGAGCATTAGTCTGTTCCCGGGATGAGTCTTCAGCATCATCCTTCTGTAAGAAACACAGATTCACAGAAGGTAAAAGAAATTAACAGGATTGATGTTTGAATTACACAATCACACAATACTACAAACTAGATATAAAGTTGCTCTTTTTGTTTTTATGTTGTTTGTCTAGTTCATTGGGGAGTTTTTTATTGTGTTTTTTTAAGAGACTATTTACTTTTAATTTCTGATTCATTAGTTGCTATAAATAACTAAAAGAACAAGTGTGTTTATGATTATGATAGTAAATTAAAATAAGAAATACAAGTTTGCAATATCAAGCAATATAAGGATCTGTTTTGTCCAACTTAATAATAACTGAACGTGAATTAAACCAGAAGCAACTGCAGACATCATCTTACCTGATCACTGCGCTGCCTCCTGATGACTGTTTGAACAACAATAAACTTGGTTAAACACTGCTGACTTTGCTTAATAAGGACAAAATATATGTATATTTTCATACAACAATTCACATACTTCCATCTTGTTAAATCAGCTGTATATAATACTTAGTGCTGGGCGGTATGACCAAAAATGTATACAACGGTATTTTTCAAAATTATACCGGTTTTTCACGGTACATGACGGTATTTTTTTTTCATGCATGACCGGGTGTTAACCATATTTTCTACTGATTGAGAGAGGAAATACTGCAGTATATTGACTTAGAATGCACTATTTTACTGTCATGATGAGTGAATATTATCAAAAAATACCACACTAAATAGTGACTTAAACACGACCCCTTTTAATACATGTTAACCAGGAGTCACTCTCATTTATAATCGCGGCATCGTCTGATAAAATCAACATGCATCTACACTAAAGAGCGGCTATGCAGTTGTTTTGGCTATATTACTTTTTTGTCTCATGTTGCACTGCCTGCAGCTGAGTAACAAACTATAAAAACAACAAACAAAAAAGCATATGATATTAACAGACGAATTACGCTCATATTTATAATTCCAAGCAATCAGTAAGCGACAGGTGCTAGGAAACGCTGATTTGTACTCATTTATTGATGAGTCGGCTGCGGTGCGGCCAACTGAATGCGCTGCTTCTCTGCAGCTCACTGCACAGAACAGACGCAGAGAGAGGTGACACTTCTCCGGGAAAGTCAGACCTCGCGTTCGTGGGACAGCACTGGCGAAATCTTGAACCATAGCTGAACCATAGCTAAGGTTTATCCAAAAAAGTCACTTGGTTTGTCAGTATGAATATTCTATGGAAAAAAAACACTAAAAGGGTCTGAAAGTTGCTAAATCTAAGTTGCTAAGGCCAACTGAATGCGCTGCTTCTCTGCAGCTCACTGCACAGAACAGACGCAGAGAGAGGTGACACTTCTCCGGGAAAGTCAGACCTCGCGTTCGTGGGACAGCACTGGCGAAATCTTGAACCATAGCTGAACCATAGCTAAGGTTTATCCAAAAAAGTCACTTGGTTTGTCAGTATGAATATTCTATGGAAAAAAACCACTAAAAGGGTCTGAAAGTTGCTAAATCTATTGCTAAAGTCGTGCTCGTGTGTGTGTGAGACGTGGGAGTCTTAGTAACACATACAGCTGTGCCCTCACCACAGTGCAACAGTGAAAAGGGACCCCTTTCAAACAGTGTTGCGTTCCGAACGTTGTTTAAGCGACATATTGCGTATTGCGGTATTTTAAAAATTCATATCATAACAAAAATAAACACCGGTATTCGGTATGAACCGGTATACCGCCCAGCACTAATAATACTCACATTTCATTATTGCTTGGCGCTTATAGTAAACCGCAGCAGCAATGAGGAGAAGAAGAAGAAGAACAACAACAACAACAGCAACAGCAACAACTGAAGACGATCCTGAATCTGAAACATCTTTGACAGACAGAAAGACAGACAGATTTGACTGATCAATTTGATCAAAATCTTTGACTGATATTTACACATTTGTACCTGGATCATTAGTGTTGCATGATTTTAACTGATAAATGGTGCCACCTGGCATTGTTTTTAAAGATCAATCCACATTCTCATTTAGTGGACTTATTTAAAAACATTGAACTGTATTCTAAAATAACAAGGAAATATGCACTGAATGACAAAGTGATACTCACAAGTAACAGTAACAGTGAAGCTCCTAATAATGCAGAATCTGCTGCTGCTGATCTGTAGTTTACAATCTCCAGAGTCTGTGGTTCTGGTGTTTGTGATGGTCAGAGATCCAGTCTGATGCTCCAGCTTCAGTCTGTCTCTGAATATCTCTTTACACTCATCATCTTCACAGACCTCACGCTGATCTCCAGTGATTTCAGCTATGCGAGTGTCATTAAAATACCACGTCATCGAATTATCTGGGCTTTTTATTACACGACTCTCTAGAGTGACAGATTCTCCCTCCTTCACCAACTTTCTCTTCATTTCATCTCGTTCAGCAGCAGGAACATCTGAAACACAAACCAACAGATGCTGGAGGATCAACAACAACGAAAGAAAAAAAAATTAAAGAAAGTGGAAAAAAAACTACACAACATCGTGATTGCATATTTTCCCATGAATTTCAGACTGAAAATCCTTTATCCATTTTTGCTCATCACAGACTTATTTTTTTTTACATCAAATCCTCAATTAAACAGATCATAATAGAAGATAAGGGTCTCATGAGAAACTGTCATCTCCACCAGAACACAACTGCAGCTCATGAACTAAAAAAAAGCTCACTATAATTTTGTTTTGATGATCCAGTCTGATGCTCCAGCTTCAGTCTGTCTCTGAATATCTCTTTACACTCATCATCTTCACAGACCTCACGCTGATCTCCAGTGATTTCAGCTATGCGAGTGTCATTAAAATACCACGTCATCGAATTATCTGGGCTTTTTATTACACGACTCTCTAGAGTGACAGATTCTCCCTCCTTCACCAACTTTCTCTTCATTTCATCTCGTTCAGCAGCAGGAACATCTGAAACACAAACCAACAGATGCTGGAGGATTAACAACAACGAAAGAAAAAAAAATTAAAGAAAGTGGAAAAAAAACTACACAACATCGTGATTGCATATTTTCCCATGAATTTCAGACTGAAAATCCTTTATCCATTTTTGCTCATCACAGACTTATTTTTTTTTTACATCAAATCCTCAATTAAACAGATCATAATAGAAGATAAGGGTCTCATGAGAAACTGTCATCTCCACCAGAACACAACTGCAGCTCATGAACTAAAAAAAAGCTCACTATAATTTTGTTTTGATGATAGATGCATTGCATTAAGATTAACAACAATATTTTAGCAACGCAATCACAGAATCACAGAAATGACTGCTAAGTGCATAAATGTAAGTCAATCAGAGGTATTAAAATGAGCAACTGTCACTACTCTAAAGAGTTTTGTTCACAAATGCCCTTATAACAATGATAGCTAAAGAAATGCTACCTTTAATGGAATAAAAGAGAAATAAAGTTAAGCAGAAAGAGTTCTCAGCTTTGCGTGTGTGGCAGTTGTTTTTTTACATTGAATGCAATAGTCAACCTTGGCAAAGGCTTTTATTTACATCTATTAGATAGCATCTATCACCATTTGCACCAAAAAATTTTAGTATTGCAGTTTAAACTTGATACAAAACACAACACACTAAACAGATGTGATTTAAACCCAGATAACCTGGCTTTACATTTTTAAATAACTCACCATGTACAGTGACGCTAAAGATATTTTCAATGTTGCGGCTGGTGATCTTTAGTATATAATCTCCAGAGTCTGTGTTGTTGATGTTTGTGACGGTCAGAGATCCATTCTGATTCACATTCAGTCTGTCTCTGAATCTCTGTTTACACTGATCATCTTCACAGATCTTACTTGTATCTCCATTAATTACAGCTATGCGATCGTCTCCAAAAAACCACATCATTCTGTCTTGGTTCATTTCAACACCAGTGTATAAAGTCATTGCATCTCCCTCCATCACTGACACTGACACTCTGTCTGGATCAACAGCAGAAGCACCTGAAGAAGAAACGAACAGTTAATTACAAATAATTTCTGAAAAAGTGGGACAAAAATATGCAACATGACATTAATGTGTATCTCTGCATTCAAATGATGATGCATGCATGACATAAGAGCATGACAAAACAATAAGACCATTGCAGTTTGATGTCGTCACAACCGAAATAAGATTGTTCATTCATTCATTCATTCATAGGTGTTGAACCTAAGTAAACTTGTAGTGTGGCTAATTAAATTTTAAAATAGTAGCTTGACCATATATATTTTTTAAGCCATTAAACTATGAGTAGCATGTAACTTGACATTGCAGTTTCAAAGTAACTTTGAAAGGAGATAAAGGAGGTGCACCCTTTTACACAAGGTGTAACCTGACCTTGCGGTATGTCACATGCAAACAAATAGCATAAGAATGTCAATTTACACTTTCACTCATAGATGATATTCTACAATGTAATGAATATAATAAAACCCACATCCCGATTCATATACCACACTGCCTATATTTGTGTATTTAACTATCCAAGTAGTGATTAGAGCATTTCCTTGCATGCCTTGCTCTAATAATAAAAAATAAAAATAAATGTAAAGGGTTTTAAATAACCTACTGGTATTTTCCACCCAATAAAACAATGGATTTTACTTTAAACTTACAGTATAACTGTCCCCAGGTTTAAGATATGTCTTTGCATGCCATGCACCTTGGATACGTTCATGTTAACAGTAGGCCTAGTATGGCTAATTTTAGAGCTATTCGAAATAATATTTCTGCTTGGATTCATATCAGATGTCAAAAATATTTTAATTTATAGAATTCAGATCGTGAAACACTCTTCAAACCCTTTGGTTCTGACGTCAATAAGGAGATCATAAAACGACATTTCTATTATTATGCCTAACGTTATATAGGTATAACAAGACGACTGGCGCTATAATTGACCATTTAAAAGAGCTGAACTGAGTAAAATAATATGTCCCCTCAAATTCCTCTATTCTTCCTCGTAAAAATTAACGTAGATTTAAGTGATCTGTGATAACGATGCCATGAACCATGATAGTGATCAGAACTACACAATTAAACTGGGTTTTACCGGCGAATTTAAGAGACAAATAAATAAAATAACAAATAAAAGTCTTACCACACACGAAGAATAGGCATACACCTCCTAACGTTACCAAAAGAGTAAATATTGTCATCACTTTTCCGTTGAAAAAGAACGCAGATCTTACAGAAATCAAAATGTCGGAAACAAAAGTGAAAGCAACAGCGTAGGCCAGATCTGTTGGGTGAAAAACAACACTTTTAAAATTCAAGCACTGTGTCGAAGCCTTCGTACGTGTTTTGCCAAACCTCTTCGATATTACGAGACTGTTGCGGTTCTTTGTGAGGACTAGATGTGAAATATGAACCGAGGCGTCGGAGCTACCGCGGACAAGCGAGCCACCTTCTGCTAACACCACAGACCAGGGGCGTAGACGTGTCCCCCTCACTTTTAATATCACGTAAATTCGTCCCCCGCACTTTTTCGGGCAAGCGTGTTCGCATAGAGGTTTTCAAGAGCTGGTGTGAATAAATATAGATTTAAATTCAAAGAGACGGGATAGTCTGTGCATGATCTGATGTTTTATTCGGACTCAGAATAAGGCGAGATGAACATTGTGGAGCGCTAAACACTCTCATGCAGTGTATGTTTCATTCATACTCGAAGCCGGAGGACGCTCTCACGCAGATAGTCGTATGAGGAATTTCCTAATATCTATCGCTGTATGAGCTGCGTCCGAAATCGCATACTTCCATACTATATAGTAGGCGAAAAACAGTATGCGAGGCGAGTAGTCTGTCCGAATTCATAGTATTCGAAAAACAGTAGGCGAGAAGTACCCGGATGACCGACTACTGGCCCGAATTCCGTAGCATGCATACGATGGAGGCGTCATTTTCGAAAATGGCGGAAGGCGGCGACGCGGCTCTCTTCAAGTGTAAGTACCTCAGGGAAAAACCTTGTTCCAATTTACATTGCTGATGTTCGCGCAGTAGTGAGGGCTCTTTAAATTTTGGCGCTGTTGTGAAGAAGCATGTCACGTGACAACATCAACATGGCGGATGTAGTACGTCCGAATTCCATTCATACTACTCGCATTCATACTATATAGAACGTACTGTTTTAACGGTCAGGTAGTACGTTCAAATTTAAATGTAGTACCTACTAAGCAGTATGCGATTTCGGACGCAGCGTGGGTGTTTCAGGTCTGACGACATCAAGCGGGCGTGGTTTAATCGCAAGGTCAAGGAGCATGCGCAGTTTACACGCTCCGTGTGAAGCCCGCGAACGTGAAAGCGGCACTTTGTTTAATTTTCGCACATTTCAAACAAGAATGATCATCACGTCTAACATTAAACAGTGTGGAAAGAAAAGAAAAGAAAACTCATGTGGCACATTGATACTTGGGAAATATATTTCATATCACTGTAGGTTCCAAACACTGACACTGTTGGTCTCTCTCTCTCTCTCTCTCACATACACTTACATATAAATACATTTATACACTTTTATATATTTATAATTTGTATATAATTTTATAGCATGTTAATTATATATTTCAAAAAATGTACATATATTAGTATAAATACACGTGCATCTCTCTCTATATATACACACACACACACATTTATAGTAATCTAATGAATGTAATTGACTGTCTTGATATTGTGCTTTTCAGACCCGGGATATCCAACAAAGATATCGAGGAACTTCCCCTTGTGGTCGGTGATGGCCTGCAGCTGAACAGAGTGGAACAGCTTCCTATTAAAATAGCATGGGGCATCACTTGCTGGTGACTTGATCCGGATGTGGCATCTGTCTATTGCACCAGCTACCATGTGGAAAACTGGAGACCCAGCCAGCTGGGCAAAACCTGCCCCCACTGCCTCCAGGTCATCCAGGGTCGGGAAAGCGATCAGCCTCCTCAAAATTCTGATGACTGCCCTGCTGATTCTGTGCACAATGTCATGCACCGTGGACTTTGGGATGTCCAAAGCCCAGTGACACCAGCCTGTACGATGCTGTGTGGGCCAGCCAGTCGAGAAACACCAGCACCTCAGCATCTTTTTCCCAGCCATGGTCAGAATCTGACTTCAAAGCAGCGATGAGGGACATGATGGACTGTCGTGAAAGCCGGAGGTTTGGACGGAGGTCAGATCCATCTTCGAAATACAATCGATATATAATGAAACTGAAAATAACTATGGAGCCTGAATTGTTAGTTTTTGACCATATTTATTATACCTTATAGTGGAGGAAATGTTGGTGATGTTCACCCCCGGCACCGCCAGGTGGTGTATTTCAGGCTTAGCCAAGACCATGCAGGTAACTAAGGGATCCCAAGTTCAGAAAAGTAGACCCATATATATATATTTTTTGTCATTTTGTGTTTCAAGAATGAGGTCCAAGGTTATAAAGCTATTAGTTATTTAAATGTAAAATGTTTTTTTCTCTATTTTGCAATAGTTAATGACGGCTTCCCTTATTGATCACGTCTCAGGTAGATTGCATGTTTTCTTGCGCGGCTGGATGTTGGACTTATTTGCCAAAACTGATTTACTGAAGTCAAAACACAGACGGAATTAGCGTTATTGCGAGCGCCGCTTGCTGTGAAGCAGGAGTGACCAGCCGGCAGAGGATATTAGGACAGTGGAAATATGCACTCAAGCACTCTGGAGACCATCCCAGATGATATCCCACTGTCAGAGCCCGTACCAGGCTTTCTATTGTGGCAGCCCATCCAGATCCAGCAGCACCACCTCATCTGAATGAAAGTGTACATTATTTTTTTTCTCTCAATCTTATGTATTGTTCATTTAATTTTTGTTTTTTTCTGATGTTGAATTGAAGCAAATTCATTTAGAAATTATAAGTTCCTTTGCAAAAATAAACAATGTTTATAATTATTTCTTGTCTTTTATTTACAAGTTTCAACTTATAATACAAAAATAAAACCAAATGCACAGAAATTACTTAATTTACAAATAACTAATCAAATTAAGTAATGTACAAAACAACTTTCATTTCTTTTTTAAGTTTCCCAGCAGCAAGTGTGTGTCTACGTGGTGGCCAGGGGTGGCCCCAGGGTCCCCCCCCTACCAGATGTTTTGCCATAGGCTTGTTTTTAGTAAATTTCTAACTGCATCTGGCAGTGGCGGATCCTGGCATGTGTAGGCAGCTGCCTAGGGCCGCTTTCTTCTCTTCTTTATACTTAATTTTAGGCGATTTCTATAGTGTGATCTTAATGACAATGTCGAAAGCGCATAATGTTACGCGACCCATGTGCGTGAGGACAAATCTGATCTTAAATAAATGCCTCCCTTTTCTTTCATTTTCCCAACTTTTTGCCATTTCTTTTCAACTTCTATATATCAATCTCTTTATTTCAGTTTTACTTATTGTAATTTGGAATTCAACTTGTGGTTGTTCCAGGGTCTTCTTTGCAAGCTGATCAACTCTCTCGTTCCCCTCTATCCCAACATGAGCCGGCACCCAAAGTAAATAAACCAATAACCTTGAACCAAGAAACTGCCTTATCCTATAATGGAATATCCTGATTTTCCACTTCGTAAACTTGTCAGAGCCGCCATTGAATCTGCACACACCACAACTGTATTAGGCTGGACTCTTCAATCCACTGCAGTGCAGGACATATAGCTAATAATTCAGAAGTATATACAGATACATGATCAGAAACTCTTCTAGCAACTTTGATATTGAATTTTGGTATATATATTGCAGCTGCTGTTCTTCCAGTCCCTGGGTCTTTAGATCCAACTGTCTATATCTGCAAAACTGAATATGTTTGATTTATATATTGTTGCACAGCTGAAACTATTGGGATGTTCATGTTGATGCTTTTTATCTCTTTATGAATGTTTAAATCAACAAATGGCATTGGAAACAACCATCGCCGGAGTCGCCACTGATAGTGCAATATCAATCTCATCAAGACCCATACTCTGTGCTTCCTTCCCAACAATCCAGCCAAAATTTACTAATTCTTTACATTCATACTCCTAACATTCTCTTAAAATATTCTTGACTGGGTGACTTTCCGAGTGACCCTTAATGCTAGTCCGGTATGTCATCATCAGCTGACGTCTGAGTAACTCTAGGGGCAGTTCTCCCATTTCAACCTGTAATGATACCACAGGAGATGACCTGAATGCTCCGCAACAAGTTTGCATTGCCTGCGTTTGTATCTTATCAATATTTTTAATCCAAGGTTTATTTGCATAAGTATACACCATACAACCATAATCAGTGTTGGCTCTTATTACTGCTTTATATATTCTTTCCATTGATTGACGCCTAGCCCCCCATTCAACTCCAGATAAGCATCTTAATATGTTTATCCCTTTCTTACATTTTTCTATCAGCTTCTGAATACGTATTCTGAAGTTCAATTTTGAGTCCATCCACCTAGAAATCTGACTATATTAACTTGTTCTAGCTGTTGCCCATACATTTATATATTCAGAGAAGGATTACATTTCTTATTCGAAAAACATATTACCTGCGTTTTTGCTACAGAAAATCTGAAACCCCATTTCCTTGCCCAATCCTCAACTTCCTTTACAGGTTTTTGCATTTTCTTTTCCACATACAAAACATTTCGCCCCCTAAACCATAACGCTCCAACATCTGCTTACAATGACCAGATCACACCAATGTCAATATTTAAAAAAAAAATCATTTATCATTAAGTTAAAAAGAATAGGACTACTTACAATACAAGTTCTGTTCTCTATTGGAAGAACCCGAGAGAATGCAGAACCCACTCTCACTTGTATTGTTCTTCCAAACAAAAAGTTAAATATCCAGTTTTACATTTTACCTTTAATTCCCATACTATCCAATTTCAATAAAAAAAAACCCTCCTTCCACAATATATCATATGCTTTTTCAATATAAAAAAACACACCTACTACTACTTTCTTCTTAACTTGAGCCTTCCTGATTTAATTTTCCAAACATAAAACTGAATCCATGGTATTCCTCCCTTTCCAAAATCCACTCTGATATGCAGGAAACAGGTTCTTGCTCTCAATAACATATGACAATCTATTCATAACCATTCGTGTTCCATAAGTTTGCAAATATTGGAAGTCTATAATTGATTGTCTGAGATTGATCTTTTCCTGGTTTGGCAATCGGCACCACAACCCCGTGCTTCCATGCATCAGGCAACTTCCCTGTTTCCCAAACCATATTAAAGAGTCCTAATATCATATTTAATGACACATTCGATAAATGTTTAATCATCTCATAACAAATATCATATTTACCAGGAGAAGTCTGTTTAATCCCCACCAATGCTCTTTTCATCTCATACAATGGGAAATCTGAATCTAGTGTGCCTCCATCTGGATTGTTTTATTTATTTATTTATTTTATTATTATTATTTTTTTTACA